TAATAAGCAAATCTTCTAAAGCCTATAATGCTAGACACACGTTTTCAGCTAGTGTCTCTTCAAAAAACTTCCGTCAGCTACCATCAAATATGAGTAACATCAGTTACAATGATGCACAACAGTTATCTGAAAGTAGAACCGACCACCCTTAGTTCTGGAGATCTGCATTATTTTTCATTCTCAGGTTTAGCACTACTATTTGCATGCAGCCCTGAGATTAGGTCTTAAGAAAGATGGCACAAGTGGAAGAATTCTTCATGTGTTCAGTAAAAATTTACCACCCACCTATTATATGGTAGGCTTTGGAGAGACTACCAGAACAGAAAGGGTCTTATCCTTGTGCAACTTACTTTGTTTGTATATTGTCTGTCATTCCTCAGAGAAACACACAAGACCGGACCATGAAGAACCATTCTGAGGAATTTGGGTCTTAGTCTAAGTGCAGCGAAAAGCCATTGTATAATTTTAAATAGGGGACTGCCATAAACTGACAGGTTGTTAAACAACGGCCACTGAGTGGAGAATGGAGGAAACCCCGGGAGGAGGCTTATATAGGAAACTCAAGAAAAAGAGGGTTAGCTTAGAGTAAAAATTGTGGAAACAAAAGTGGACAGATTCAATGTTAGAATCTTGGTGTCAAGCAGTCTTCACTTTGAGCCCTTTCACCTTTACATTCTTGGGCAAGTTACTTACACTCTTTGAGCCTCAGCTTCCTTACTTAGCAATGCTTGTAAAACACTAGCACTTAGAAAATTCACAATAAATTATTATAATAGTACTTTGAAACTCAATTAAAGGGGTTCAGATAGACTGACTTCCTTTTCTCCCACAACATTAACCCTACCATAAGTAATTTTTAGCAGGGTTCAAGTACGGTTATATACAAGTACTACATTGACTCCATCAAGAGACAAATTCCTGTTTCTCACAGAATTTACACTAAAACTGTTCATAAATATACACTGAGCAAGTTTTTCTCTAATAAAAATCTAGTTTGCACCTTCAATTCGTGTTTCACATACATTCTTTCACTTCCTCAGTGTATGTGAGTAAACCATTATAAGCAGGATCTTGTGGTTAACTCATGATAAAGATTATGGTGTTACTACCAATTATTTTAATTTCTTCTGTCAATAGTTTCCTTTAAAACTTTAATAAGGGATGGCACTCCTCCTTCTTACTGCGACATCAGAAAACCAAGTTACCAAGCTTTTGGCTGGCCCCGAAATAGTTTTTGATCATGGAAATAAAATCTCATATTTTCACCAGGGAAATTAATCAAGGGCTGGTCCGTGGCTCACATCGGGAGAGTGTGGTGCTGATAACACCAAGGCCATGGGTTCGGATCCCTATATAGGGATGGCCGGTTAGCTCACTTGGGAGAGAGTGGTGCTGACAACACCAAGTCAAGCGTTACGATCCCCTCGCCGGTCATCTTTAAAAAAAAAAAAAGCTCTCTTTTATAAGTACAGCAGCACTACCCTCCATCCACAGGGAATTCATTCCAAGTCCCCCAGTGGATGCCTGAAACATCAGATAGTATCAGAAAAGTGTTTCTCCTATACCTACATACCTATGGTAAAGTTTACTTTATAAATTAGGCACAGTAAAAGATTAATAACAATAACAAATAACAAAATAGAACAATTATAACAATATACCAATATACAGTAATAAATGTTATATGAATATGGTCTCTCTCTAAAAATACTGTCATATTTTCAGACCTCAGCTGACCATGGTTAACCGAAGCCATGTAAAGCAAAACCATGAATAAGGGGGGACTACTGTAATATGGACTACAAATATTCATCCTCCAGTAGCTTCCCCTGATACTTAACATTCTTTCAACAAAGGATGAACCATCCTGAAAATTTACTATCATGTTCACTCAGTATTTACTAAACAGGGGGTATGTGCTAGACAATGTGCTAGGCACTATGGGAGGACTAAGGTTAGTGTTATATGATCCTTAGTCTCAAGGAGTTTCCAACCTAGTCCTGAAAATTTACTATCATGTTCACTCAGTATTTACTAAACAGGGGGTATGTGCTAGACAATGTGCTAGTCACTATGGGAGGACTAAGGTTAGTGTTATATGATCCTTAGTCTCAAGGAGTTTCCAACCTAGTGAGGAGAGTAAGTACACAAGAAAAGGAAGGAGTGATGCAGACACTACTACGAGTATTACAAATAAAAAGATCACTTTCAGATGGGGTGGAATTTGAGCTAGAACCTTGAGAAACAGAGTTTTGATATAAGGAGCAAGCACAAGAAATCAGAGAACAGCATGAACTTCCACATAGGAGCTTTTTTTGAAAAAAACTTTTTATTATGAAAAATTTAAACATATAAGTTGACAGGATAAAATAATTAACCTCCATGTACTCATCACTGAGCTTTAATAATTATCAACTTACGGCCAATCTTGTTTTATAATTTACATGTCTTCTTATATGAAAATCCTAAAGGAGCCTATTTTCATATGCTAGTACATTCTTTACTTACTCCATACTCAGACAAATCTACAGTACCACAGTAGCCTCCACAGGTTGATTTTTCCTAAAAGCTACATACAAATAAAGTGCAAGTCTGTTCCTTAAAAAAAAAAAAAAAAATCAACTTTTTTTTTTGGCAGCTGGCCAGCAAGGAGATGTGAACCCTTGACCTTGGTGTTATAACACCATGCTCTAACCAACTGAGCTAACTGACCAACCAATCAACTCTTCATTGTACAAACCAAGGAAAGAGTAACAAAGACTACAAAATGACAGCTAACACACAAATTGGTTTACATATACTTTTGGAATACCTTTTCCATACTTTTATTTCAATAAGAATGAGTAAAATGGGAGATTTCATGTCAAACGAAGTAAAGTATCACAGGTGAAGTAATCTGGACACATCACTTGGCTTCCTGGGCCTAAGTTTCCTCCTCTATAAAATAGAGAAATATCACCTACCTCAGAGACTTGAGAGAATTAAATGAGTATGTATTAAATGCCATGTGTATATATATATTTGGCAGCAGGCCAGTACAGGGATACAAACCCTTGACCTTGGTGTTATAAGCACAATACTTTCCCAAGTAAACTAACAGGCCAGCCCACAGTTCTTTAATATCATTACCTGGTTGACTCAGCAAGAACTAGGAAGCTGCCTGGTTTCTCAATCCTCTCCCCTCATACACCACCCTCTAGAGATGATGATGATGATGTAAAAACTTTCTTCATTTCAAAACATGCTAAAGGTGAGGGGCTAAGCATCCTGATTTCAAGGAGCTTCCTTTGCATGCAAAGCAAATAAAGAGCTGAGACTGAGGGAAGAATTTTAGTAGAATAAATCTTGTGAACCGTCAAACTTCACAAAGTAATCCCTCCCTTAACTAGTAGAGCTGACCAACATCACACAGAGGTAGTGTGTGACAAACCTACCAAAAAAACACTTTTTATTTTCCCCACTGACCTGCCTCTCAACAGCAAGTGATATGAAACACAAGATTACGATTTGAGTTTTCTTAAGGAAAGAGTTTCTCAAGAGTTCTTGAGCTATCATAACCCCAAACACCACAAATCACCCACTCGGTTAAAGTTTTCTACCTAAATTTTCTATTTTCAGATATCGCCCACTTGATATTTCCCTAAGATAATTATAATTAATGTAGTAAAATATGGCACTTCAGTTTGCCAAGTGCTTTGTAAAGGTATTCTGTTAATCCTTACAGCCAATGAAAAAGGTAATTTACCTATTTTATAGGTAAGGAAAAAGGAATGAAGAACTATCTTGTCCAGCTACAAGGCAAGTTAGTGGCGAACCGGATCCCCAAACCAGGTCTTCCAACTCCAAATGCCATGCTCTTCCCATCCTATTATGCTCTTCTCTAAGAAGCGAAAGTCTACAGTTCTGTTCCAAATCACATTTGCTTCAAAGAGTAAACTATCTTCAAACAATCTCTCTAGATTTCGACCAGATTTCCATCCCCACACCTACAATCATCCCCTTTCTTGCTTCCTTACCCTCTAGCCATTGCTTTCTCCCCACCATTCAATTTCCACTCTCCAAGGATACTATCATTCCTTCAACCCCTACTGAAAAATTCCACCTCTGCTTGTACCCCCATTCCCCAAACCTTCTCGGGATATGTGTGTTGTCATCCCACAAATGACACAGTACATTTCTCAGTCCTTAATCAACGACTTAATAACTATTAAAGTCCCATAAAAAATACACATAACTTGCTGATCTTCCATCTCCATACTTGGCCCAAGGCACCAGCCCACTTCAAATTCTTAAGAATAGGGTATCAACCCTTACAAATACTCTGCCCAAGCCCCAATGTCACCATCGACTTCCTTTCCAGAATGTGGTTATCCAAACACGCTCCTCTTCCAAGCTCTTCTCCAGTGACTCCCTTCCAAGGTTCCCAAGACTCTCTCCACGGTTTTCTTTCCCTCATTCCTGAGCCTCTGCCCACCTTATACCAACTCTCCCTTAGCTCCTCATCCCAGAGCTAAGCAGCAGCCCTAGTTGAGGCTGCCGCTCCTCTCTCGAAACTTGGAAGTTCTGTCTCTTATCACCTGTTCTTACCAGAGCTTGCTCTCAGCCCGGTGGCCCACCTTTGCCCTGGCTAGTCTCTCTCCACTCTTTCGATTCCTCCTGCCCAGGAGCCACCCCCACAAGTTGGTTCCGGGGTGCCCGTCGGATTCAACTTCCATCCGTGGGATTCCCACCCCCGGAGTCATTCTCCCCTTCTCCATCACCTGCTCCACCCATGGCCAAATGACATCTGCCACTGCAGCCGCCTCCATCCCCCTTCTCGGACTCCGGGTCCTTGGCCGCTCACCGCCTTCCCCGAGCGCCAGCCGCCCCCTCCAGCGGAGACAAGGAGGGCGTGCACCCCCAACTCGCACCTGTTCCACCGCCTCTCCCCCTGGCGGGGCGCGCCGGCACCCCGACTCCCACCGTCGCCGCGCCCCGGCCTCCCGAAGCCCCGCACTCACCACGAGTAGGTCTGCTCCGCCATGGCGCTGACTCTCGTAGGCTCCGCTGCAGGCT